GCGCGAAATTGTCGTCGACCGAGTCGGAGTATGTGGCGGCCACGGATGCAGGCAAGGAGGGACGCCGACTCCGCTTCCTCCTTGCGGAGTTCCAGCAGCTTGACGCTGGGAAGCCGACTGTTCTTCGTGTGGACAACAAGTCGGCAATCACGGTCACTGAGGGCTTGGGGCTGACGGGCAACCTCAAGCACATGGAGCGACGCTACGCCTGGCTGCAGCACATGGTGAGGCGCGGGAAGTTCGTGCTGGAGTACTTCCCGACCACCGAGCAGCCGGCCGACTTCCTGACGAAGGCGCTGCATTTTCCGGCCTTCAACCAGTGCTCTGTCGCCATCGGCCAAGTGCGCCTGGCCAACGTCGGCGACGGGGACGATGCGGTGCAGCAGTATGTGCCGTGTCCTTTTGCACGGCTGGTGCGGTGACGGCGTGCTGTGTGTGGGGTGCACGCCGAGGACGACTTTTCTCCGTGGAGTGCTGCCGTGTGGGCTGGGGGCCCAAGCGTGAGCATGGCAGGGGAGTGTTAACGGGAACGGAGTGTTGGCCCCGCCCTCGCTTGAGCAACGCCAACGACTTGGTCGGATGTACGGGAGATGCAGCCGACCGTTCGCAGTGAAGGAGCTGCTCGACGGGCTTCGTCGAGCTGCAGGGGATCACTGTGGTGTTGCCGTCGACCAGGAGTGCTTGACGGCCTTCTTCTGCGGGGCAGGTCGACGAAGTGGCTGTCGACTTGCATTGGACTGTCACGGGGCTGGAGCCGTCGACCAGGGAGCTAGACAGGTGCAGCTGACTGGGTTGGGCGACGGGTGGGCCGTCGATCAGGAGGAGCAGTTCGACCGGGAGGTCGACGGAGCAATCCGTCGACCTGACATGTGAGTAGCGGTCGATGAGGGGAGCTCGGCGACAACAGCTGACAATGCTGGTCGACGGAGGGGCCCGTCGACCAGGGGGTAGCTCGACGGGAGCTGTGGTCGACCAGGGGCACTTGGTGGTCGACCAGGTCGACCGGGTAACCTGCTCGGTGAGTTCTGCGGAGGCACGCGAACGTCGTCGAGGTCGCGGTGACGAAGGCGACTTCGGGCTGGTATCCCGAAGTCGATGTACCTCGTCAGGCGCAGACAATAGCCGACGGATGCACAACGGTGCAAGTCAGGCCAATCGTCTGCGCGCACCTGCGAACGTGCGCACTGCTGTCTTCTACGGGGCTGTTGGAGGTCGCGTGAGTTAGAAGCAAACGGTGGTGGGGCAATTGATATGCCCCCAACCCACCAAATGTGTTTCGGTGCTCACCGCTTGAGTGAGCTGCAGGTTTCACGAAGTGTGTGGGTTGACTTCGGAAGACCCACTCGATTGGTGCCACATGGCAACACAAGAAGAATCGAGACTCAGGGAGAATTCGATTCGGTGAAATTCGAGAGTCGAATTTCACCCCTTCGATGTTACTCGAACATTCGAGTGTACCGCGGTTCGAGGTTACATGTGCGATTCGACGTTTTGCAGTTCATATAAATGTGTTTGCTTTTGTATTGCATGATCATACTGAAAACCCGAATCACTTTGTATGTGATAGACTCGACTACAAAATCCAGAGAGCTCCTATCCTTTGTCCTAAGAGCACTAGCAAGCGCATAAACGACTATATCTCGCTCGATACTTAGGCGATCGAGGTGATCTACGGCATTCGTTTTAAGATTGGGTACGTTCCAGGTTGTTTATATGAGCTCGATGCACAATTAGCGGATCGCAATGAAAAAATCGGTCGAGGTCCTGTGGTCGCAGTGCGGAAGTTTTACGATTCTAGGGACTTAACGGAACCATTCATACCCTCAGAATTCTGGACGTTCATTGCACAAGCCAGAATATGGGTTAGGGGTGTTTCCCGAAAACAGTTGCAGGACGTCAAATTGGCGAGGGCTATTTTGGCGGCCGACGCTGGCGGAGCAGTAATAAATTTGTTGACTTTGTTGGGATTTCGTGGAAGATGTTTTTTTGAACCGACCAGCATCTCCCCACCACCACCACCGCCATCACCACCACGTGGAAACAAATTTCGAACCGACCAGCATCTCCATCACCACCACCACCTGATGTCAATGGTAACTGAGACTTGGCGCCCAGGGTTTCTCCTGCCCGAACGTGTGCAGAGCAGCCAGTCGTTGTTCATCACTGAACACGCGAGGAACACTGTTCAATGCGTTTGGGGCAGCTTAGCAACTGTAGATCCTCTTGCCACTGTATCACGCGGTTTCATCCATAGGAATGGTGGGAAGGGAAAGTCCAACCAGTCTGACCAGCAGGATACTGCAATGGCGAGGCGACCGCTGCTTGCTCGACCCATCAGGTCACCTCACCAGCATGTACAGATCCACAAATAGTGTCACAAGCCGTGCATCACAGCCGCCCAAGAATTCGTACACACACCTTGTGTCTGATACAGTTTCCCTAACATGGCTGAAAAAACCCTCAAGTTTTTAGTGTGATGGTATGAGATAACGTGAACTTTGTTATGTTTTCACATGATTGTGTTTGGTTCACGACCAGAACCCTCCATGCACATATTTGCAAATGTACAGCTGTTTTGTGACTGTTCTGCCAGGCGTTTGAACGGACCGACTAAAACGAGGGCCGTTGCCCGTATTCCTCTTTAAATGAGCAGGTGTTTTCTACGGACACTCCCTATGGGGTTTCCTCAATATCACATTTAGTGTACATGCCCAAGTTGTCACGAGTTTCCCCTGCAAGGGGTCCCGGCAGACCTTCAGTTTCGAGGGGTAACTCAAAAGTTGGGAACCTGATCATTATCCTATGAAGTGGAATCGCAGTCAGACTGTTGGGCGTTTGCAGAAGATACCATCGATATCACAACCGCTATCACCAAACTCAAGAAAGCAAACCATCCAAATGAGGTATCCTGAGCTTGCAAAGACTCGCGCTGGGGTTCCTACTAAGATCACCAGCGCCACAAACATTGAAAGTGCAAGTCCGTGTGCAAGAGACAGTCCACGTCGCATCCTTGAAGAGGGTTTTCCGCTAGGATTTCGATTCCGGCCGACGGACGAGGAGCTGCTGTGTTACTACCTCAGGCGTCGCGTGGAGGGCCTTCCCATCGCATGGAATGCGATTGGCGACGTGGATCTGTACAAGTCGGAGCCTTGGGAACTGCCAGGTACTATCACTGCTCTGCTTAAAATTCTGAATATTAAGTGTCCAGTTGCGTCATAATTCTGAAATGCGGCGTCTAAAAAAAAAGGGAGGGGTCCCAACTCACCCCCAACGCGACACCTAGAGAAAACCTGCACCAGCTTTACGCAAGTCACCACAAACTCGCTCGGAGGTGACCAGCGATCATGCATCGTTTGAGGAAATTGCTACATTCTTTGGGACGTGAAAAGGTTCGACCCGAAACAGGCCCGAATGTTTCCCCATAGCACCAACCCCCACAGCTGCGGTGATATTTTCTCGTATATGAGAAGCCTCAGAACTCTTATCGTCATCTCTTCCCCTCCTCCTCCAATAACAGCCAGAGGATTCCCGTAGCTGGCGCCGGAAGTTGATTCATCCAAGACCCCTGTCATCACTTGCTAGTAACATCCAGAGGTTGAAACTGGTCCTCGTTTACTTCGAGTTGCCCTAAAAAAACCCTCTTACTCTCCCATCCCTCTCACTCCTCAGTAGGCTCCTTTCCCAGCTATAGAAAAAACGGCTGATTGCTGCAACCTCAAAGCGCCCCTTTCCCTCTCTTCTCTTCCTCTTCTCCATTCTCATCTAGAGCAGGTAAGGCCGACTGCTGCCAATTACCAAGGCAAAGTGGTTCTTCCTCACTGAGACCGACTTCAAGCCTTGTTTACCCCTCTTCTCCTCTCATCTGTCCCTCTACACCTCTCCCAGCCAGAGCAATATGCCCAATCGCTGGCGACGGCGAGTGGTTTTTTTTCGCAGCCCGCGACTTCAAGTACCCGTCAGGGTCCCGGTCCAACCGAGCCACAACTGCTGGGTACTGGAAGGCCACTGGGAAGGCGAGGCCTGTATATGTGCAGCTCTCGGGCAGCAGTGGTGGCAACGATGGCAAAGGGGACCAGATAGTCAGAGCGGGGTTCAAAAAGACTCATGTCTTCTATATGTGAGTTCAGTGCTTGCTTCTCCCCCCTCCGTGTGAAACCCCACATTGGCTTGGCCGGGTCGCTTGGATTGCTTGTTTGTCCAGTAATGTTCGGGATTTCATGTTGTGTTTTCGGAATTTTAAAACCCGAGGGTCAAGAAGGCCAAAATTGGTTCATCCTTCCTAATGCTGGTTGGGTGTCCCCAAAACGCCTGTGATTATTCCTGTGTTCTAAGACCTCGTTGGTTCACTCGTTGGTTCACTCCTAAGGTTGAACTTCTTGGCCCGCGGGTTTTAAATGGTTTGTTCATGTTTTCCAATTTGTTTGTTCAGGGTTTTGGCGTGATTGTCTGGGTTTTGAGGTTGCTACTTTGGACCTTCAGATTGGTTGTTCGGGTTTTCATATTGTTTGTCTGGGGAGGGGGAGGATACCACTTTGATTCTTTGGACTAAATGTTTTGGAGGGTAAGATACCACTTGTATAAGCCATTTGAACATTTGTCATTCTGTTAATGTGGGAACAGGGGGCGAGCGCTAGGAGGGGACAAGACTGACTGGGTGATGAACGAGTACCGGCTGGCAGAGGATTGGCCTGTAGCTGGACTGGCTGCTACAGACGAGGCATGCGCTACAGCAGCAGCAGCCGGATCGGACTTAGCGGCAGCAGCTGCACACGCAGCTGCTACGCCTAAAAGCATCACAGCCGGTGTGGATATAGCAGGTGGTGCTGTCAAAGACAGAAACAACAGCAGAGATGAAGCGACCAATCCAGACACAAGAGGTCTGGGTGGTGCAGCTGGTGGCTTGGCCAGCAGCTACAGCAGCCCCGAAGCCAACAGTCCAGAGCTTCAAGCTGGAATCGGTCGAAAGATCGACGTGGTGTCGTGGGTGGTTGTGCGGGTGCTCAAACGAAGCTCCCTGACGGCTGAGGAGCAAGAGATGGTGGCGCATCAGGGGATTGCAGCACAGCAGTGGATGGAAGAACAGCAGGGGATGGCAGCACAGCAGTGGATGGAAGCACAGCAGGGGATGGAAGCGCAGCAGGGGATGGAAGCACAGCAGGGGACGGAAGCACAGCAGAGATTGGCAGCGCAGCAGGGGATGGCAGCACACCAGTGGATGGAAGAAGAGCAGGAGATGGCAGCACAGCAGAGGATGGAAGCACAGCAGGGGATGGAAGCACAGCAGTGGGTGGAAAAACAGCAGGAGATGGAAAAACAGCAGGGGATGGAAGCACAGCAGGGGATGGCAGAACAGCAGGGGATGGAAGGAGAGCAGGGGATGGCAGCACAGCATGGAATGGCAGCACAGCAGCAGGGAGGGCCGCCTCTACATGGTGTGAATCCGTGGCCCTTAGTGCAGCAGCGAGGGAGCGGAGCAAAGCAGCGAATAGGTGACGCTGCTGGGGATAGGAACCCAGGCTGGGCCAGTATTGAATGTGGGGCTGGGAGCAAAGGTTGGGCTAGTGATGAAGGTGGAACTTGGAGCACAGGTGGTGCTAGCGGCTCAGGTGGTGCTAGTGGCTCAGGTGGTGCTAGCGGCTCAGGTGGTGCTAGCGGCTCAGGTGGTGCTAGTGGCTCAGGTGGTGCTAGCGGCTCAAGTGGTGCTAGTGGCTCAGGTGGTGCTAGCGGTTCAGGTGGTGCTAGCGGCTCAGGAGAGGTGAATATTGAGCTGGGAGATGAGAAGGGAGTGAAAGGGATGGCAGGGAAAGGGCATTTGGTGCTTCAGCAGGAAACATGCGTAGGAGGTACTGGTGGTGTGGGAGATAGTGATCTGGCAGGGGCGTATGGGACTGCATACAGCGAGGGGGGTTTCGGACCAGTGGCTGGGCTCCTTGAGAGTGTAAAATTGCAGGCTGTGACTTTCAGGAGCAATTCGCCGTCAACAGAATCAAAAGGTCAGTCAGTCAGCCAGTCGCCGACCTCCTCCGCCTCCGCGATGCCTGTGGACATGCAGAGCAGCATCGCAGCAAGCCGAGCGACAGCTGTGATTTTCGAGTCGACTCAAAAGTCCGATGGAGCACCCGTTTTGAGCAAACCCGGGACTCCATTGGATGTGCAGAGCAGCATCGCAGCAAGCCGAGCGACAGCTGGGATTTTCGAGTCGAATCAACAGTTGGCAGAGGAGGAAGGAGCAGCAATAATTCCAGAGGTAGCAGCAACAGGGGCAGCAGTGGGAGCGGCAGCAGCACCAGTAGCAATGGAGGTACAGGGGGCAGGAGGAGCAGTGGGGGCAGCAGTGGGAGCTGCAGGGGGAGGTGCTAACCTCTATGCACATCCAGGTCTCGCCTCCCCTCTCCCCTATCCGTTCAGCCCACACTCTGGCCTCTCTCCTGCCCCCGTTATCCTGCCCAGTGCTGCTAGCAGCAGTCATGCAGTGCATCAAGAGTTATTGCTCCAGCACCAGCAACCCAGTGGAGGAGCAGTGCTGCAAGGGTTACCGCTCCAGCAGCAACGCAGCAGCGCATTAGTGCAGCAAGGGTTGGTGCAGCAAGGGTTGGTGCAGCGAGGGTTGGTGCAGCGAGGGTTGGTGCAGCAAGAGTTATTCCTCCAGCAACAGCAAATCAGCCGCGCAATAGTGCAGCAAGGGTTGGCGCAGGCGCTTTACCTTGAGGACATGCCATCTGTGAAGCATTGCCTGCTTGAAATGAAGCAGCACGGCAGCAGCCCAGCATTGCAGCAAGAGTTGCTGCAAGCTCTCTACCACGAGGCCACGCCAACTTTCAAGCAGCATCTGCTTGGGACAACGCCACCTGGAAGCAACGACGGTGGTGGGGTGGAAGGTAGGGGAGATAGGGAGCAGGTGGAGAGGGGGGAGGAAGGATGGAAGCAGCAGGAGTGGGAGGGCATGAGGAGCGAGGTGCGAGGGCTTGTGGTGGGTACCGGAGATGTTCGGATTGAGGTTGAACCAAAGGTAGAGCCTGTTGAAGTATGGCCGATGATGCAGGGGGGGATGCGCACTGGGGAGCAGCAGCAGCTGCAGCAGCTGTACCAGCAGCAGCAGCAGCAGCAGCAGCAGCAGCAGCAGCAGCAGCAGCAGCAGCAGCAGCAGCAGCAGCAGTAGCAGCAGCAGCAGCAGCAGCAGCAGCAGCAGCAGCAGAAGCAGCAGCAGCAGCAGCAGCAGCAGCAGCAGCAGCAGCAGCAGCAGCAGCAGCAGCAGCAGCAGCAGCAGCAGCAGCAGCAGCAGCAGCAGCAGCAGCAGCAGCAGCAGCAGCAGCAACAGCAGCAGCAGCAGCAGCAACAATACCAGCAGCAGCATGGCCAATACCACCAGCATCAGATGCTTCAGCAGCAGATGCCTCAGCGGCAGGCACAAATTCCCGATCCTTCACGGCAGAGAAGAGCTATTGCTGCTGTTGTGGTGGGTACCGGAGATGTTCGCATTGAGGTTGAACCGAAGGCAGAGCCTGTTGGAGTATGGCCGATGATGCACGGGGGGATGCGCACTGGGGAGGAGCACCCAACTAGTGGTGGTGCTGACTCGGCTAAGGTAGATGACAGAGCAGCAGGTGAAGATACCCGCAAAAAGGATTTGCAACAACTGGTTGATCTTGTCAAATCTCTCCTAGGAAGTCAGGTCGCCACCTCTTCAGATGCTGCTACTAGAACTTGTCCCACTGCCGCTCCTCTTGCGGCTTCAAGTGGGGATGCTACGGCGCCTCCTCCTGCAAATCCTCCACCTGCTGCTACTGATGCTGCTGCTGCTGTTGCTGCTGTGTTGTTTGCTGCTACTCTAGTTGCAGGTGATTCCCAACCCATTCAAGCCTCAGGGTCTGGCGGAGTTGAGTCTCCAGGGTACTTGAACGGAACAGCAGCAGAATCCTCGAAGGCATCCCTTTCCCATTCCTTTGACACACCGTCACATGCAGCTGTAGCACCCTCGTATGCGGTTTCAACACCATCATATTCGCTTGTAGCACCCCCAAATGCGATTGTCCCAAATGCGATTTTCCCAGCTGTTACAGGAGTCCAGCAGGGTAAAAGGCAAAAGGGGTGGCACACAAAGAATCCTGGGTACCAGGACCAGCAACGCCACCAGCAGCAGCAGCAGCAGCAAAAGCAGCAGCAACTGCAGCAGCCGCACCAGCAGCAGCAGTATCATCATCAGCCACAGCAGCAGCAGCAGCAGCAGCACCAGCAGCAGCAGCAGCAGCAGCAGCAGCAGCATTACCAGAGGCAACTGCATGAGCAGCATGGGCAATACCACCAGCATCAGATGCTTCAGCAGTACATGCCTCAGCAACAGGGACTCAGTCCTGATCCTCCATGGCACAGAAGCGTTTCCTGCCCTTCTGTCCCTCTACCACTTCAGAATCCTAGTCTAGGCGCCAACCAGCTTGAAACACCCTTTCGTGCCTCCCACAGTGTAGAGTATGACCACCCCCAGTCGTTGCAAGCGGATTTGGACGGACAGGGAGGGCAAGGGGGGTTAAACATGAGAAATCTAAGTGATTCTCTGCTACATACCAGTGTGTGGGAGAGCAGTGGTCCAGAAGTTGCTGTAAGGGGGGTGGAAGAAGAGAGGAGGGGAGTGGGGGACGATGAGGAAGGTGGATTGGAGGCAATGATTCGCCACACCAGATGGCATGCAGGAGCAGGGGGCTCTGGGATGGAGAACCGAGAAGCAAATCTGCCAGGAGGGGTGGGAGTTGCAGCAGCAATGGAAGCACCACCAGGTGGTTCAGGGATGCCAGCAGCTGCAGAGGGAGCTGCACCAGCAGCAGGGGAAGAACCAAGCAGTGCAAGGGTGGTGGCAGCAGGGTTGGGAGTTACAGCGGCAGGGGTGAATGTTACAGCAGCAGGGGTAGCAGAGGCAGCAAGAGAAGGAGAAGAGGACTTGATAAGATCGGTTGATGGGTTGGAGCTAGCGGATCTCGAGGCACTTCTGCTGAATGTGGAGGTCGAAATGGGCATTATCAGCAGCATGGATAGTGGGATAAACCAGCATCTCATCAGCAACACAATCAGCACCATTCAGCCAATGGCCGCTGATCACACTGTCAATCGTACTGGCAGCAGTTATGGCGCGTGGTCCTTGGTGGAAGGAACTCAGTTGCTGCCAGATTCATTCTTCCCAGCACCAGCAATAGTGCGGACAGTGGGTCAGACACGAGCATATGGAGGAGCAGAAGCAGGAGAAGCATCAGCAGCAGCAGCAGCAGAAGCAGCAGGTGCACAAGCAGCCAGTACAGGCATGACTGTCAATGTATTAAGAAACGCACAAACGGGGAATCACGAATTGAGCAGCAGCCAGGGTACTGGAAGGATACTCTCCCCCAAAAGGAGTCGTGAAGAGGACAGCTGAGTATCGTCACGAGAAGCTGTGACCAGGGCCCTCGCTAGTCCCTGAAGCCCCCTGATGCATCAGGCGGGCCCTTCGGGCCCGTTTGATCCATCAGAAATTTGAAGTTTCCCTTGTCTTATGCATCAGAAATTCTAGCAATTCTTGTCTGACGAATCAGAGATTCCAAAACGAACTTCATAAACCTACTTTAACTACTACAGCTCCACATTTAAGAGATAATCGCACTAACTAACTAACAATCTGAGTCAGATTCAGAGTCATTGTCACTGAGTGCAACAGTCCCACGCACATCTACTCCTTCATCTTCAATGTCGCTAACTACAACTGGAACTTTGGCTTTCTTCCTACGCTTGCATTCTGCATCATCAGCCGGCGTCTTCTCATTTTTTTTTCTTTTTAGGTAATTGATATGTACACCGTTAGAGCAAGCATACATAGGCAATAACAGTCGTAACTGTGCATGAGGGGCGGCCACGTGGCTGCCCCAGGTGCAGCATCTAAGGAGGCTGGTGCGTCATCCTCGGTGCGAGCCAGACATTTTCGAAGGCCTTCGTCCACGCCCACGACTTGCAGTTTTTGTCCCTGATCCGAAACAGTAATTTGTTTTCCCTCTCCATCACACGGCGGAACTTCACCTCCTGCTGTGTACCCCGGCGCTTCCTCCACTCCGCATCCCTTGATCTCGTGTAAACCCTTGCATGCAGGTGGAAAGCCGCTTCAATGCGACGAAGCACCCGCCTCGTCCGGATTTTTTTCCCCCAAAAGACAGCATCACAGCGCTCCGCCCACAGCTGATGAAGTGTAATAGATGTGATCGTGGCCTCCGGAAAGGCTGTGCTGGACCCAGATTTCCGGAACAACAGGTCACCCAGAGATGACACCGCACGCAAGCTGTTCAACATGCGAAGAGATTTTAGAAGTGCAGACGTCACCACCTGAATCTTGGGGCAACTGTAGAGGCAATGTTCAAGCGTTTCCTCGCCTCCACAGTACGGGCAGACCGGTTTGCTGCTCAAAAAAGCCACCCGCTCTCCCACTTGCAGATTTAAGTTGTGGATCCGCAGCAGAACATCTCGCGGCCTGCTCGGTGTAACCAGTGAGTCCCGGATAGCAATGGTCCTTTTCCAGTTGATATGCCCGTTCCACCCGCCCTTCCACAACCGCTGCTTCGCCGACGGTTTTTGCCCCTCCCTCCAAAGCAGCTTCAACCGCTTCAGAGGCGCAATCCCCCCGTTTTCGAAAATGGGGAAGTCAGTGAGCTTGCGCCCCGCAGAGTGGAAACCCCGCCTAGACCCTGCCGAGCTAGATGCCTGCGCCCCCTGGGCAGGAGCACTGAGGAGCAGCTCCTTCCACTTCTGAGGCGCGGCCTCAAACGCCCTCCTCGCCAGCCTAGCAGCCCCCTTCCCTCCCAGCTCCTTTTCCAAAACGGCTAGGTCTTTGAGCACAGGAACACCGTTGCCATCAGGCCCAATCAAGTCACCCAGCCGCTTCTCCCACAGCGGCTTCGCATCCTGCTGCCCTCCGACCGGCGTAGTCCCATTGAGCAGGAGTCGCTTGTTGAAGACGATCCGCTCCCCCTCTACTGCTTCTCGAGTACTTGCCTCCGGAAGAATCCCCAGCGGCGTTTTCATGAAATTTTCACACGCCACTTTCCAGCGCACGCTTTTCCCCTCCCAATGTTTTAGCAGCTTCTCGTGGGCAAAAAACGTCTCAACGCCCATGGGAAGGTCCGCCGCTCGTAGCATGAGATGTCTTTTCAGTTGATTAGTCTCCAGCACCAACAGCCCCACCCGCCTCGCCGTGAGGCACGCCAAAATCATTTCCGGGTCCTGTACCCCCACCCCTCCCAGCTCCCTCGGCGTGTACAGCAGTTCCCTGCTCCAGAGCCGAAACACCTTGTCTGTCGTCGCTTTGTTCCCGGATACGAAATTCTCAAATGTCTTGGAAATAGTTCCCCATTGTTTTGCAGGCGGCGGGTAAACTTGCGCCTGGAACGCTGCCTTCGGCATCGTGTAGCTGTTGACCACAACCGTTCGCACCGATGTCGGTAGGAATTTCTGCTCCCACTTTTTGACCTTCCCTGAAATATCCTCCGAAGTTTTTTCCCACGTTGGCAGGCAGCTCCCCGAAGGAGTGACCCATACGCCCAGCAGCTTTTCGGCCTCCTCCTTCTCCGCCCATCTGAAGCTGTGCGTACGGCCAGTTGTCCTGCCGAGATTGTTCCCCAGCGGCAGGACGACCGACTTGTCACGGTTTGTCGCCAGCCCGGAGGTCAACTCAAACTTTTCCAGCACCTGCTCTGCTTTGATTAGCTGCTGCTTCCCCTCCAGAACCAAGGTGGTGTCGTCCGCGTACCCGATGTACGCCAATCGTTCACTCGCCTTGCTGATACCCAACTTCCGCTTAAGAACCGTTTGCGCCAGTGGTTCAACTGCACACAGGAAGAGGTAAGGCGCGAGAGGGCAACCCTGCCGAACTCCAGAGACCACCTCCACGCCCTCGCCCATCCAGCCATTCACTAACAGCCTCGTCTGTTTTCTTGCATGCAGGCCTTCCACCCACTTCATAAAGCGCTACGGGAAACCCATCGCCCTCATCGTCCGGAAGAGGTACCCGCGCGAAACTGAATCAAAAGCCTTCTTGAAGTCCACAAGCAAGAGAAACCAATCCTCGTTGTCGTTTCTTGCGGTGTCGATAATATCAGCAACCAGCCCCACCGCGTCCGTCAACCACCTTCCTGGTAAGAATCCATACTGCTCCGGCAATATCACCCTTCCCAGGACCTTCTTCATTCTGTCCGCCATGACCCGCGCCAGCACCTTGTAAGTGAAGTTCAGCAATGTGATAGGACGGTAGTTGTTGAGCTGGTCCTTGTCCCCCTTTTTATGAAGCAGGATCGTTACCGCTTCTTTTACCTCCGTTGAGAGCACCGCTGATGACGCAAAATCCTTGGCGAGAGTCATGAACCCCCTCCCCAGCAGGTCCCAGTGAGCTTCGAACAACTCTTTCGGCAAACCGTCCTTGCCGGGAGACTTGTTGGCCGCCATTGCACTAATAGCCTTTTTCACCTCCTCTTCCGTCCAGTCCGCTGACAGCTCCTCTGCTTCCCACGAACGCACTGTCTTGTCCTTGTCCGGGCGCCACTTCTCCTCCAGCTGACAGCGGTCCCTCCCGAAGATCTCCGCGAAAAACTCCGAGGCTGCCCGGAAAACCCCCTGAGAGTCCGAGACAACCCCACTCGCCGTCTGCAATTCTGCGATCTGGGTACACGCCTTCCTTGCCTGCACCATCGCCGTCAGGTGTTGCGACGCCACCTCGCCCCTGAGTTCCGTACGCATACCCGACATCAGGTGCAGCTTGTCTTTCCGCGACGCTTGGTATTCCCGCAACTGCGCTTCCTTCACCGCTAACAACACACTTGTGTGTTTGCAGGCCAGATCCCGCATCATCGCCTGCCGGAGATCTGCAACGACATCCACCAGATGCGTCGCCGTCGCCTTAACGTGCTTTCCCTCCTCCTTTGCAAATGCTCGAAGGCCAGCCGCCAACCGTGAGAGCAGCAACTCAAAGCTGCTTCCGTCCGTGACAGCACACCTCTCCACCGTCGCTTCCACAACCTTCCGGACCCCGCGCTTGTGCACCAGCGAGGCATGAAGCCTCCAAAGCCCAGGGTCGATGCTGAGCTTGGCGTCAATACGGAGAGCTATACGGATCGCAAAACTGTGGTCCGAGATGTAATCCGCCGGCATAACATGCGAAGCTTGAATCAGATGAGGTAAGAGTGAATGAGAGAGAAGAGCACGGTCAATGCGCGTGCTAACCTGCTGGGCTTGCGAAAAGAAAGTAAACTCCCGTTTTCTCGGATAGAGCGTTCTGAAAGCGTCTGATAACTGGAAAGCACCGCACCGAGCGAAGAGCCTGTCATTCTCAGCAGAGGAACCTAACCGCGACGACTTGTCTAACACTGGATCCTCCACAATGTTAAGATCCCCCATAATGAGCAGATGGCTGGACGGAGGGACCAGATCTACAACCGGACCAAGGGTGTCGTGCAAGAAGGCGGCACGCGAGGTCGGATTAGCCGGGAAGTAACAGGCGACGACTGTGAGCTGCAGGCCAAGACCCAGGATCTCTGCGGAGACTACCCTCCCTGAAGAGTGAACTACCACGTTGCTAAAACTAAGAAGCTGCGATCGACAGAGCAGAGCTACTCCGCCAGCCTTCGTCCTAGGCGAGGTAGCGGCTGCTAAACTGTAAGTGGGATGAGACCAGAGAGGATGGTCGGAGTCGATCCTAGTGTCTGAGAGTACTATGATATCCGTCGCTTGTCTGGACCAGTCTAGAACACGTTGCTGTTTGGTCTTATCTCCAAGGCCGTTGACGTTCAGTCCCGCGAAACTGATGAGGCTTTTCTTACTCATTTAATAACAAACTGAGAACCCCTACGCATCCACAGGGTTAAGATAGGAACGACACCGACAACCACAAGAACTACCGACGCTGCTACCGCTTGTCTACCGAGCTGCTCCTGCCTCAGATCCCATAGTCCTTCTTCGTAACCGTGAGGCTCGCCTTCTCGAGTGAGGCACGGGTGGCAGAACCGAGCTGCTCCAGGTGAATGAGGTGGTTGGCCGACGTGATGTGGTCTGCCGCCGACATAAAACTCTTTCCCTTGGCCTTCCCGCAGCCCACTTGCGTGCAGATCCACTCCTCCCGGTTCCCTCCAGTGGAAATAAGCACGATCGCCGGGTCCAACAGGATAGGAGTAATCAGAGGCGAGGCCGGAAGGGATGCGGTTGCATGGTACAACTCGGCAGTTAGCACATGTAAACATGCAACGGTGAGAACGATCATGGTCAGAAAAACAGTTACCATTAATGCGGTGAACCCGGCCCAAGGTAAGGCTCCACTTCCCTATGTTGTTTTGCCGCTCTGTCATGAAAGCATCATGATTGACATCATAATGCTGTCCACCGCAGAGCAGGCAAGACAGCGCAGGGAAGTGGACCAAGAAGCGACGGCCGATCTCCAACGGGTCCTGGAAAACATGGCGCCAGCGGTATCGGTCTCCAGGATGCGGGATCACGAGACCCTTGATGACGTCGGTGTCAGCACCAGTAACAGGATGCAGCACGCGGTGGAAGCAGACGCCATCCTTAAACGCCGACTGCTTCCGGTTCCGCAGCTGGTAAAGCACCATCAGCTCGCGCAGCATCTCTGGCGTCTTCGTTGCTGGTACGTCGCGAATCATCACTTCAATCGCTTGAGCATTCGTTGCGCGCTCCCTGACAAAAGCAGGGTTGTCCGTGTGCTGCCAGTAGAGCCTGAACACCGCGCCGTTAGGCCGCGCGTAGTCAACCTCCTTCGATCTGATTCTCACGATATCATCTTCACGCAGGAGAGAGACCTGCAGCCGACTGTAGCGGGTTTTCGCCACATACGCCGGAAGGAGCTCCTGAAACTTCGCCGATTCAGCAGCCCCGTCGGAGAGCGTGGAAGCCCACACGCGCCTCATCAGGGTCCGCACCGTGGTAATGACAGAAGCCACCTCCAAGGACAGATCCACAGGCAGCAGAAGAATCGCCGTGAAGCAGACGTGGTTGAAGGCCTCAGTCTTGACCTCGACTTCAAGCTCTTCGTCGGAGTCGTCTTCAAGAAAACCACTGTCAGGAGCAGACTTGCAGAGTGAGCGCAGCTTCTCCTCCAGAGAAACACCAGAACCGCTCGCCGTTGCTTCAGCATGAGTCACATTGCCAGAGTCTTCCACCTTGCCCTTGCCCTTGCGTGCAGAGTCAGATGGAGCAGGAGCAGGAGCAGAAACAGGAGACGAGGACGGAGCATCCACAGTAGGCGGGACCTCCAGCGATGAAGCATCCGACAGAGCCTTGGACTTCCCCTTAGGAGGCATCGTGCGATGATGAGTAAAATATGGCTGCACGGCTGAAAAACAGACAACTGATGTCTGAGCTGATGCCATTCCTCTGAGCACAGACTGGTTAAATAGGCTTTTGCCTGAAGCATTGGACCAGAACTCTTGTTGTTGATGATGAGAAACCGAGGTAGATGCCTCGGGATCAGGGTAAGCAATAGCCTTAATAGAAACATTGTAGAACTTGTTGAAACGTCAAAACATTAAAGCAGGGAACCGAGCCCTTGAAGTTAGTTGCAAGTCATAAAGAACCTTGAAGTTAGATGCCTGACAGAAAACTGGGCCTCGGTTAGCGAACGATATAATGTCCGACGTGTAGACATAAAAGCAGTATCGATCGATGCGCTTTGTAACGAGGAGTCCAGATCTGCAGTTATCGAGGCCAACTGACAAGGAACCTTCACGGGATCTAGACTTGAAACTACGCGGCAGAATCCATGGCGGACTCATGGTGAGTTTCAGATAAGAAGGGGCGTGTGGGAAGAGTTTTTCTTCTCCTCTCCATAAGGGAGCACGAGGAATCAGTTCGCGTTTTTTGCTTAGCCGGCGTCTTCTCAGCTGCAGTGTCAGGTGCTGGATCTTCTGTCTCTGCCCCCGTGCGCTTGGTCTTGTTAGCCAATCCACTGACTTCTCTTGCTGGGCGTCTCTTCTTAGCTCTGCGCCACAGCATCACCACGTCATCCCAGTCAGCTTCATACTGGAGCAGGGAGATGCACATGAGGTCTGCGAGTCTAGCGTTGCAGAGGTTGCTCCTGAGCCACGACTTGATGACGTTCTGGCGACTGAAGCCCCGCTCGCACTCCACAGTGCTGAGCGGGAGAACGGCCACAGCCACCCATAGTCGAACAAGATTGGGAAACGATGACTCCCAATCTACGCTCCGCAGCATATTCTTCAGGCCCACGTGGAACGCTTGGTCTTTGTATTGCGACACCATCACTCGGGTGAAGCGTGGAAGCTCCCGCTCTGCCTTCTTCCAGTTGACACCTGTAAGCACATACAATACAACACGAATAGTTACTAATCTGGGTTGTACATGGATCAGATGGCCTAACAAAGTATTGGCAAGTGGGTTAAGCGAGAACAGACCGTACATGGCAGAGCATATTTCTCGGCGCTGAACAGCGTGCGGAGGGAGCTGAACCACTCCGCGCACATACGGTCCCGCTTGGCCACGCCCTCCGGGTAGGCATATGGCAGAAAAAGCTTGGACCCAACGAGGGTGTTCAAGCTGCGCATGCGGTACAGCAGCCTGTCGATCACCTCCTGCGCAAACAGGGTGGCGATGTTAACACAGGATTCAAGGTCACCTTTTGAATCTTGCCCGTCCAGATCCGACTCGTGCAGCTTGAAGGTGGGTAACGGCGTTGCCCTCCCCATCCATCCCCTCCACCGTGACCAGCCGTCGGGACGGAAGGGTGTGCGCTTCGAGGAAGGCGCTGGGGTGCTCGCTGTCCTCGGCGAAATTCACACCGTAGTCCACATAGCGCGCCTTCAGCTTCGCGCATGTGTTTTTGCACCTGCCCCATGACTCGGGTGATGTCCACCTGCAATCATTAACATGAACTACATCAGTCATTGTTCAAGGGGGCAACTCAGGAAGACAATAAACATGAACTCACCGCTCGGCGCTGAAACCTCTTATTGAGCTCGTTGAGCTCCTTCAGGACATCAGCAAGAAAGAACAGAAAAAAATGAAACTTAAAGCTCGTAACCAGATGATACGTCGTCTTGTCTTTCTCCCAGAGCAGGACGATGGCTGCAGGCAGGACCGCGACAAGTCGAGATACTGCATCGCCATGCGAGAGCCACCGAACCTCAAAGATGCCCTGCATCTCCAAGCTAGTCTCGTGAAACACATGCTGCAGCTCGTGGAACCTCTGGTGGACGACACAGCTTTGGCCAATGAGGTTCGCAATGGCGCGGATCCCTTGGTCCACGATGTTGAAGTCGGGGATGTTCGTCGCGGCATCTTTGGCCGCGAGCGCCTCACTGTAACGGGCAAGTGTCGGAAAAATAAAATTGATAGCATGCAGCATGTACAACAAAGCAGTGGAAACCGCACCGATGAGCAAGGCAATGACACGCGACCAGATGCGGAACTCGCATACGCAGCTGGACCACCAGCCCATTCTGACCGCCGACCATGACATTCGCGCCATCCGTGCTAATGCCGGAGAATTGGCGAATGTCAATCCCAGTGCTTTCCAGATGCGCCATCAGGACGGTGAGCAGAGAGGAAGCGTCACATTTCTCCACGGTTAGGTGACCGAAAAACTCGGTCACCACCTTCTCCTCCTTCAGGAAGCTCAGGTAGACGATGAGGTGCTTCCCCCTCCTCCTCTCCGTGGACTCGTCGAGCTGGATCCCCAGGAAGGGGGATTCTTGGATGTATCGCAGCTGATGGGCCTTGGGGTGCTTCACCATGGCTTCGGCCATCTCCCGAAACCCATACCTGCCAGCAAGACCCGTTTAGTTAGTGGCTGTTTATGTGTAGCACATAAGGAGCATTACCCACTTCGACTGGTAGGTGACGATGGCCTTGTCGGGAATGTTAGGGGTCTTCAAAAGGTGTAGCAGTTGCACAAGACCGACAAAGAGAGAAATAGGTGCATCGGACTTGCAGATGAAAAGCACCACTAAATGAAGTTGCTTCAGACGCTCAGTCTCCCCCACCCCGTCCTCATGGTCCTCAATGTTAGAGACTAAGGACGGAGTCTACGAAGATTATGTGCCAAAATTTCTCAAAATCGTTGGCTTAGAATTTTGGACAGAAACGTCGAGTTCACAAGAAACGCCGTCGACGAAAGGTGCACCGTTAAAACTTCACCAAACTCAGATATGTTGTAGCCCTAGTCCGTGGCTACAATTCCCAATTTGAATCGTATGTAAAGGTGAAGTATTTCTTGAGTTATTGATTTGTGGCGCACTAGGGGGTATGCTGCCATAAAAACTTAACTCAATCACAATTTTCTCACAAGTTCACACAAGAAAGTTAGACTAGCAATGAACCAGGTAGGAGGGGATGAGGAGGACGAGAGGGAAGGTCCCAGGGGAGTCCCCAACCAAGGAAACCCCATGCCACACAATTCCCCTCTCTATAGGCATCCCAACTTTGACATTTGTCACTTTCCCAACTTCCACAATCCACCTCATCCAAGTTGGCCACACTTGCCAACCTGGTTTGGCTTCTCCCAACCACTTGGCATCAACTACAGTGATGTTGACGAATTTCCCAACCCCCAAAAGTCTATACCCCTTATGGAGTCAACCCCACTACTTCCCATAGTCACCACAACCAAATATCAAAAGCATACAAACTTCCAACGTTCGTAACTTTCTTGTTCGTGCTCCGATTGAAGCGATACTTGGTTCGTCGGAAAGCTCTTGAGCAGAGGAGTCACTTCAGATATCTGCTCAAGCCAAATAACATTCACACACACTCATCAAACACAAATTCTTGCACACGCTCACACCACGCATGTAACGCACGAACATGTGATGGGAGGCAGACAGACGTGAATGCAAGTGATAGCATCACATAACACTCAACCCCACGCTGAACCACCTTACCACTTTTTGCTCGGGCTTTCCGGTCGAGGGCGTCCTGGTGCTTGCGCATGGTCTGCTTCTGGATGTCCACGCCACCCTCGCCCGCCTTGCCGTACTGCCAATGTCGCGGTCCGTAACTGATGCAGACCCAACACTTCATGCACGGGCGGCCATCCTTCCGTTGCGATATGATCAACTAGGGGAACCGACGTTGCCAGTTGTCGGTACACTTCTTCCGCAGTTCTTCGAGAAGTGCATCTGGGTCCGGAACCAACAGAGAATGCGTGGACGGCCCTGGATATGAAGGTGTGGTGTTCGTGCTAGTAGCAGGAGTCTGCGGAGTAGCTGGAGTTGCGGGGATCGCGTCCTTCCTTGCGTGATGCGAACGTGAGGCACGTACGTTCGAGCAAAGCGAATGGTGGATTGGGTGTATTTCCCAAACTTCGGGAACCGGGCGACGCCGACAGATCGGACTGCACCGACTGTGGGAGTCGCGACACGCCCGATCGTTCTAGTGGGCGACTCGTGTTGACGGGAGTTAGCCCCGCCCTCGCCTGGGCAAAACTGACTGTGTGGTCGGGTGTGTGGGAGGTGCAGCCGACCCTCTGCAGTATGCGAGATCTGGAGCTTCTGCGCAGGTTGGGACAAGGACCTCGTGCACAAGGTGAAGGGTTGCCTGTACACGAGGTGTACTAGGGAACCCATGCAAGAGTAACTGAAGCACCCGCGAGTGCAACGCAAACGTCTCGTGCACATGTGCAAGTGGCGCGGCTGGTGCAGAGGTTCGCGGGTGTTCGTCTGCGCAGGGTCGCGTCTGATCCTGCGCACCCACGCGAATGCACAAGAGAATTTCAGCCAGAAATTCGAATGTGCCCTAATTTCGACCAATGAGGAGCCGGAATTTCAGAATGTCGACCGAGGTGGTCGACGAAGGTCGTCGACCCACAACGACGAAGGTCGTCGACCCACGACGACGAAGGTCGTCGACCTTTGATGAAAAAGGTCATCGACCTACAGGGTCGCCGGTGACTCTACCCGGTCGACCAAGTTACCTGCTCGACGAGGTTCTGCGGAGGTGTGCGAACGTCGTCGAAGCTACTGTGGCGAAGTCGACCGACGTGGCAGCACGTGGTCGACGTGGCTCGTCAGGTGCAACCGTCGGCATGTGGCTGACAACCTGCGCAACGACAGTGCACGACGTGCGTAACTGTCTACAAGCACCTGCGAAGTAGGTGCTTGCACATGCGCTTACAATCACCTGCGCATGCAACGTTGGCAAGCCGCCATTCTGTGTTGTGTTGGCAAGCCGTGCGGGTGCATCGTTGGCAGGCCGCCATTCTGCAGCGTTGGCAAGCCGTGCACGAGCTGCGTTGGCGGGCCGCAGACTTGCTACGTTGGCAGGTCGACGACTTTGTCGTGCTGGCAGT